CTTCTGGACAGCAGTCAGGTCGGCAGTCTTACCCATGATTGCGGTTTTGAGTAATGAACAAGGCTGGGAGTTTTTAAAAGCCTCAGGAATCTTTTGCAGGTGTTTAGAGTTACGTCGTTGATTCAGATGGTTAGGTTAATAGCTTGTTTAGAGAATCTTTTCATGATATGCTAATTTTTTGGGACAGGCATTTTGGGTTTTCATGAGCTGTATGCCATAATCATCAGTATTAAAACAATTAAAGACCTGAAATATTTCAGTTGGTGTGCAATGAATCTGAAATATATGAAATTTTCATTTTTATCATTACATTATGGAAAATAATGACCTTTATCACAATATGCTAATTTTTTGAGAAGGACCTGTATAATCATTCAACTCAAGTATGCAAGGGAAGAAAATACACACCCTGTCAAGGGAATGTGTATTATTTGCACACGCCATTCTCCATCATTTTCATTGCTCTTTTACTGTTATTAAAATGTTCCATGATCCTTACTATATTTAACAAATCAGTCTTCATATGACTGGTCAGTAAAGGGACAGCAAGAGAGAATTCTATTATCTCCAGGTCTGACTGATATGATTACAGTGACAACTTTCTTAGAGAGCCTATGAGAGCTGCTGGCCTTCCAGATTCCTCCTCCTTCTGACTGCAGCTGGGTTTTGATAACAGCTGGACAGGGTGGGGAAGGGCTGGCGGCTGGTAGCTTCTACAAAACAGATTTATTTTTTTCTGGTCAAGAAGTTAGAACAGGTCTCAGATAGGTGAAAGCACTGATTAGTGTGAACTTGTAAATGCATTGATCTTTTGTGATTGCTGGCTGTTTATTCTCCAAAGCTTTGTAATTCAATTCAATTCAATTCAATTCAAAAATACTTTATTAATCCCAAAGGGAAATTATTTGTTGTTGTAACTCATTATCCTAATTTCATTAAGAGATGTTATAGATACTGATGGCAGTAGACAGGAAGGATCTCTTGTAAAGGTCCATCCCACAGTGGATCCTAAGAAACTGGCTACAGATGCCATCCGATCCGTCCACCCAGACTCGGCTGACCTCTCAGTTCCCCCGGGCTGTAGGACTGCCTGAATGCTGGGCTGAACTCCTCCCAGAGCGATGGCCACTCCTCCCAGAAGTCTGCCGAGCTCCTTGTCGCTGCAGACAGCCAACTGTAGGTGCTGAGGGACGATCCTGTCCTTACGCTGTCATGAGCCGTGTTTCCTGCTAGTTCCAGGATCTCAGTGGTCAGGCACTCGAGCACAACTGGCAGGTAGATGAGAATGTGTCCACAGAACATCCTTTCAACTCATTTGAGATGTGGGGCTGTAGTTGAAATATTATTTGAGCTTTTGAGATGTTAATCAGCTGCTGTTGGTTGTAGAAAACTGCCTTGTTGCCATGGTTACACATCATAAGAAATGTCCAAAACTAAAAAAGTTTCAGTAAAAATCTTTCCAGCTGCACAGCATCTGATACCAGAGGAAACAATCATCCAAAAAATGGGATTTACATCCAGAAAAAGAGGAATTAAAGTTTCCAAAAGCAAAATCTCAGAATGAAAGTAACAGAGCTGCTCCAACATGCAGCCACCTTGAGCGGCGCAATTCCAGAACAATGCAGACATCCATACAAGGTATATCCCGGGACATCCTTATAGAAGAGATTCATAATCTCTGTGGATTTCTTTCCTGGTAAAATAAAGGTTTAAATAAAATATATATGATGAAGCTTACACCTGGTTGTTTTGGGAGTCTCTTTTTTCCACGACACACCCTACACAGCAAAGATCCTTTTGGATTTGAACCTGAAATCTTCTGTGAGAAACATTTCTGGCACAGGTCTAATGTGATGCTGAAGAATACGATGGAGCAGCAGGTATGGGTTCAAGTTTATGTTGCATTTCAGAACACGTGGAGACTTTAGTGGAAATAGGCTCCACAGATTTTGCATTCTGTAAATGAGGGGTTATAAAGCTGTGTTATTACCTTCAATATGTGGTTGCTCTTGAGTTTGCTGGGCATGCTCTCATGCTGTGAGGCCAGTCCAGAAAGTACAGCAAACCTGCACATGGCCAGAAGTTCATGTCAGATCTGATCTGAGGCGTTCAATAAAACCAGGGATTTGTTTTGTCGTTTTATTTTTACCATTTGTGGCACTCAGCATTCAGGCCGTTCTTCTGCAGAGCCTCTTCTGCCTCCTCCAGACCTGCAAACATTAGACAGATTAACAGGAAGTAACTTCACGCCTCCCAAAAACACAACCATTCAGCTGAAGGCGAGGTAAGATGCTCCACACAGCCACAACCTGTCTACATGGTTGTTTTTAATCAGCTGACTCAGCATGTTACTTCAGCAGGTGTAGTATGGTCATTTCTCACTGTGCTGCAGCTGCTGGAGATATTACAAGAAAAGAAACATACAAGAAACACATTTCTGCTTTAGTTTTGCTGAGTTCTGTTTGCGACCAGTAGTCTCAGGGGGTTGTTTGTGTATCCGTCTTGTAAAACTGTATTCAAGCTCATGCGCATAGTTTTGTTGTCCACCTCTACCCACTTTGGCAACCTCTACAACATCCATGATTTTTTTCTTTTTTGGCACGCTTTAGAAATGAAGACAGGCAGATTGAGAGCAGTTTTACTGTCCTTTGTTTCCCAGAGTGAAACAGGGGAACGGAAAATACAATCCCTCGTGTCAGCATAATAACTTGAAAAATCAGAGTGGTACTAACTTCCATTTTGGTGTGTGGCTGCATCTAGAAAGGTTCCTTTTGAAAATCGGGTTGCCACGTCCAAAATCCAAGATGTCTGTCGCAATTTATATACATGTAAACTAGGGCTGAACAATTAATTACATTTGCAATAATATCGAGATAAGATAAAACAAGATTTTCTAATTGCAAAGGCTGCAATTTGACTGGTCCCATGACCTGGTTACGTAACTTGCTAGGGAGAGGAGCAAACCAGAGCAGGGAGCGGGAGAAGTCAACTCTGCACTTTAACCAGTTGCACAATGGCATCAGGCTCAACAGAAGCTGATCCATCATAAACTTTGGTACCAAAGAGAGACAGCACATCTGTGGTTTGAATTATTTTGACTGTAAAAAGAAGACAGTGCTCAACAAAATGTACTGTGCAGAACCTGCCTTGCTGCTGTTGCTACCTCTCGAGGTAACACCACAAATCTTTATCAACACTTAAAAACCACCACAAAGCTATTTAAGATGGTTGGCTAAAATGTCAACGACCATTGTTTCAACTTCATTAAGCAAAGTAGCAGCCGACAGGGCTCACTGACCGAACTGTTTGAAGGTATGAACATAGTTAGAAACGGCACGTGGAAATAACTCGAGCAGTAACGGAGTTCATAGCAAAGACATGATGCCCATTAATACATTGACCCAGCCTGGGTTTACAGCTTTGGTAAACGCAATGGATAAGCGGTACAGAATGCCCTCATGCATACATTTTAGCCCAGTTGCTATTCTGGAGCTATACAAAAAATACAGAAACAGAGTTGCAGAGGAGCTGAAAACAACTGAAACAGATTATTATTGCTTGTGTTTGTTGAAAAATACATGAGAAGAAGACATTGAAAAATTGCAATTAGAATATTTTCCAAAATCGTTCAGCCCTAATGTAAACCAACCACCACAATCATTTGAGGAAACTGCTGCAAAGTTTTTATATTTCTTAAAAGTATAGTTTCCTCAATAATTGGTGTGGTCAAAGATTAATCTATGGTAGATAAAGCCTCCATTGGCCACCCACTGGCTCCACCATTATGGTGGTGGATAAAATTTCTCCCTCCACTTGCCAAGAAATGTTACTCTGGTCCACCTGTGTTCTTCTCCACAGTGTAACTGATCCCCACTTGAATATTTTGCACCAAAAACATTAATGTTTACTTTCATTCTCTGTTCATTTACAGTCCAAAAATACAGTAATCTCAAAAAATACAAACATTCACTGTTTGAATCCCTCAGAAACGGGGGACATCGGCGTACTGCTTGATATTATTATTATCATTTTCCACCAGTATAGTTTTTAGATGTGGACATGTTTTCTATCAGAGGAGAGCTCTGATGTGTTCAAGTACAGCTTTACTGCTCCTGAGATGAGTTGGAGACACCCGTGATGACTGAATATTTCAAGAGAAATTGTTCACCCAAATTTTTGGAACGCGTTCAAAATTCAAACAACAAGAATGCAAAGCTCTGAGACTGACATGAGGAAACTCAGAACCCCCTCAAAGATTCTGAGACATGTTGAAACCCCTCCTCATGAATGTCATTCACCGACAAGTCTCACAAAGAGGCCGCTCAGAGACAAACTGTGTTAAAGGAAACAGGATGTTCACTGCAGTCAGACATGAGACAGTAGTGACAGCATAAAATACTTATTTAGGACCGAGAAGCGAAGCGCTGCGAAGGCCTATTGTAATTCTGCTGTTTATTATATTTTTCTTTTTATTCTCCTCCCTAAAAAAATGTTAATTTGGAGGGGTTAACATATCTGAAAACTCACCAAACTTTACCAAAAGTTGTCCCCCGTGTGAAATTTTAGTATTTTAATGGAACCACAAGTGGACGTGGCCAAACTGCTCTATAGCGCCTACTAACGTAAGATAGGACAACTGGTACATCCTAGAGAGCTGAAATTTGGTACATAGGTAGAACTCATTGAATCAAGAAAAAAAGTCTCTTGGAGGTATGCCCTAAACCCAACAGGAAGTCAGCCATTTTGGGTCAAATGGTCATTTTTGGCCATTATTCACTTTTCATACATGGCGAATTTGAACAAACTCTTCCTAGGCATTTTGAGATATTGCCTTCAAACTTGGTGGATATGACCTTAAGACATTGGGGAGTAATGTAATTTTAAAAATTGCGTTTTCATTCATGTTAAAGGGGCGTGGCCAGGCCTCAAAATTAGGCCTCACGCCGTAAATTTCCAAACGCTATAACTTTCACATTGACAGAACAAAACACACAAAACTTGGCAAAAGCCATCCCTGTCCGATGCCCGACGATCCTCTGTGGTCATATTCTGACGTCATCAAAGCCCCGCCCCCTCAGAACAGGAAGTCAATTTTTTTGCTTAGAATGCCCCCTCTCTTGACATCCTTGACCTAAACAAGATGATCCTGTGTTAGAAGACAGATAAGTTGGTCTGACTTGCTTTAAAGCACAAAGCGTTTTCGCTGGAGGATGTGGGCGTGGCGGCGTGGTGAATTCAGAAGTGACGCTGTTACAATACGTTTGGCGCTAAATTCCACAGATTTGATCCGAGGTTCATCAAAATCACTATGATCAATCATTGCCCAACCCTTGAACAGGAAGCCATGATAATTGGCCAATAGCCTCCACAGCGCCCCCTAGAATATTTTAAAACCTCAGCCCCAAGCCATTTTTTGACCGATAATTCTGAAACTCGGTTAATAT